GCTAAAGGTAGGTCTTTCCTCTGAAACACTCCTGATGGTAAGGTTTGCAATTCACTGGAGTGACTCTGTTTAAAAAAAAAAAAAAAAAAAGAACCAGGAGAAATGTTCAATTTCATTAATATTCAAAGAAATACAAATTAAAACAAAGTGCCATTTTTAACCTCAAAATAGCAAGAACTTTTTTAAAATGACAATAATACATTCTGGTGAAATTTATATGAGGGAAAAAACCACTCTCATTCACTGTTGGTTTAGGGCGTAAATTGACATGCCTTTCTAAAAACTCAATTAGCTTTGGCCAGGCGCGGTAGCTCACGCCTGTAATCCTAGCTCTCTGGGAGGCCAAGGCGGGCGGATTGTTTGAGCTCAGGAGTTCGAGACTAGCCTGAACAAGAGCGAGACCCTGTCTCTACTAAAAATAGAAAGAAATTAATTGGACAACTAAAAATATATAGAAAAAATTAGCTGACCATGGTGGCGCGTGCCTGCAGTCCCAGCTACTCGGGAGGCTGAGGCAGGAGGATCACTTGAGCCCAGTAGTTTGAGGTTGCTGTGAGCTAGCCTGATCACCACGGCATTCTAGCCCGGGCAACAGAATGAGACTCTGTCTCAAAAAAAAAAAAAAAAAAACTTAATTAGTTTAATTAGCAACAGATAATGAGTCATTAAATGCTCACACTTTTTGATGTAGTAATACACTTCCAGGAATCTTAAAGGGACAACCCAAAATGAGGATAAAATTTATGCACAAAAATGTCCATTATAGAGATACGGATAATAGCAAAAACTTTGAAGTAAACTAAATAACTTTTTTTTTTTTTTTGAGACAGAGTCTCACTCTGTTGCCTAGGCTAGAGTGCCATGGCGTCAGCCTAGCTCACAGCAACCTCAAACTCCTGGGCTCAAGTGATCCTTCTGCCTCAGCCTCCCGAGTAGCTGGGACTACAGGCATGCGCCACCATGCCCGGCTAATTTTTTCTATATATTTTTAGTTGGCCGATTAATTTCTTTCTAATTTTAGTAGAGGCGGGGTCTCGCTCTTGCTCAGGCTGGTCTCAAACACCTGAACTCAAACAATCCGCCCGCCTAGGACTCCCAGAGTGCTAGGATTACAGGCGTGAGCTACCACACCCAGCCAGAAGTAAACTAAATAACTTTATATAAATGATTTGGAATGGCTTAATTAATTTATCATATAGAATGAGTAACATGATGTCATTAAAAATTCTTACAAATAATTTTTAAATTATATAGAAATGCCTATGATATAAAGTTACATGACAAAATTCAAAATTGTATCCATGTAGCATGACATTTAAAAGTTTTATAATACACACACACTCATAAAATTTCTATTAACCTGTTTGTTTTACACTATCATGAGAAAATAGCTGGCTCTTTTCACTGAATTTGGAGGGTGTATGTGGGGTAGTCTGACCTAAAATATAGGCTATGCAGCACAAAAACAATTCACTGTTTGTATGTCAAAGAATTACACAGTCATTCTCCAGCAGGGGTTTAGGCATCATCTGAGATAAAACCATTCCACACTTGAGTAAATGTAGATAGCATCTTCAAAGGAAGCAACAGCAGGAATTTATTTAATAGTCATTGCTGATTCCCCTGAGCAACATAGGATGAGCCAGCAAAATATATGTGCATGAATGTATATGGATGTGCACACACATTTAAAAGGCTAGAAGAAAATATCCTAAAATATTAGCAGTGATTTTTCTAAGTAGAGATATTCTGGAACTGCATTAATATGGGAGACACTAGACACATGGGGCTATTTATATTAAATTAAGTAAAATTTCAAATTCCCTCCTTCAGTTGCACTAGTCACATTTCAAGAGCTCAATAGCCACAGTAGCTAATAGCTACCATATTCAACAGTGCAGATCTAGAACCTTTCCATCATCAAATGAAGTTTTTTGGTCAGTGCCATTCTAGAAGACTTTTTATGTTCTTTATACATTTTCCAAATGTATTACAATATGCATTGTACTAGATACCTCTTATAAACAGAAAAAATAAACACTATGAGAAAAGAAAATGAGGTTAACAAAGGAAACACTCACACTAGAGGTGCAGAGGACACATCTCTAGAGAACACTGAAAAAATAACACCCTGTGGGGAAACGCAAGTGGTCACAGGCACTCAGGGAAGAACAGAAGAGGCTAAAAAGAGACATGGGAATAACAAACATTCCGAGGAAAGAAAGGACACAGAAATTCCAACATCAGGGGTGGGGAAGGAGGCAATTAGAGCAAGAAGTCACAGGTTCTTATCTCTCCCCACTCACCAGCCATTACAGCTGCTGACCGCTGAGCTGGCTCAAAAGGACATTTCCCCCGGCCACTCTCAAGTCTTTCAACCTGCTGGAAACTGGACACATCCTACAGACCAGAAGAGGGCAATTGGTTTAGGAGTCATGAGGAAGGTTGACTGTGAGAATTACAAAGATGGTCACATAAAGGAAAAGGCCAATTCCCATTCATCTTCCATCCCCCCACTACCAACCCCATCTTCCCAATTAGCTATTCCTGATACCCACACCCATTCCTGCATTTCCCATCTCTGCTATCCCTTTTGTTTTATCAGTTTATCCCTCTTTCCTTAATTCTCCTAGTATCCAATACCTACATGCCCTGATGAAGGAACACCCAGGATAGCCCTAGAAGACCCTAAGTGGCTAAAGGTAGGTCTTTCCTCTGAAACACTCCTGAATGGTAAGGTTTGCAATTCACTGGAGTATGTGCCACAGGACAAGGAGGACCAGGGAAGAAAGCAGGCCTCCTGAGGGCTGAAGCCCTTAGGAAGGGCAAAGAAAAGTGGAGGCTGATAGAGGACCATCTGAAGCCCAGGGGCCTAGATAGCAAAGGGCCATCCTCTCCCTACTCCCACCCCAGGGATGAAAGACAGGGCCAGAGCCATACACCCAAGTTGGGAGAGAGAATCTGCAAAGTTGATGAAGAATGACCTGAAGCTCAAGACAAAATTTAGGGGTTTGATAGGTAAGTACCTTCCTCATCCAGAGACTCCAGAGGGAATGACCTGGGTTAGGAATGAGAGGTGTAAGAGCTCCACCAGGGCCAGCAAGAAGTTACCTTAGTCTAGCAGCCAGCACTAAGAGAGGCTTCAAGATAACATCTAAAAATGGAAATCAAGGATGATTTCAACCTAGGACTGAGAGGAAAGTTAACCATGGCTGGCTGGGAATCAAAATTATGGTATGCAAATGCCAGGCATGATATCTCTAGTTCACAAATTGGGGTGGATATACAGTGTTGCTGGAGCCTAATTACTTTCATGGTAGTTGAAGTAGAAACATAGATATATATTCCTGAACATAAGTATACTACTGGCCCATTCTGACTGCTCTACATGGCAAACAGGTTTTATTTTACTGAGAGAGTCTTGAAGAAGGCCTGTTAAAACTGCATGTGATCTGAGGTCCCCCAGAGGAGATGCTGGGTCAAAAGAGTATACTGGAATGAAGACCCCACAGAGGCACAGCATTTCACCTGTGTGGCAGTGGAGCATCCTCACCTGAGGAGAAAGACGGTAGTTTGGTGAGAGAGTTCCGAGACATGCAGGTGCTCCAAAGACACGGTTAATACCTACTGTGCTTCCCTTCCTGCTGCACCTAAACTATAGCAGTAACTTCCTTTTCTCCACATTATCTAGCCCCACCCCCAAGTTATTCTAATACCCACCCCAGATCAGTCTTGCAAAGGGTCAAAAATGTACTAATACATTTCTGAGCAAGAGAACGATAAAATGGCCCACCATTGCCTGCAGTACAAACTCTTTAGCCCAACCTACTGATTTTCTACTACTTCTCAAAATGATCTTTTTTCTATAACAGATCACCTGTTAATTAATTAATAGAAAATAAATTATGTTTTCTATGCCTAAAACTACTGCCTTATATTTCACCAAAGACTAAAAGGATGAGCTTTGTCTCAGTTCTCATTCTCTATAATCTTCAAGCACCATTTGATATTTTTGACTCACTCCCTTCCTTGAAATATTCTATTCCTTGACTCTCTTGAAACTCTACCCTACTGGAGTCCCTCCTCCTATCTGTTATTTCTCTATTTTCTTCTTCTTTCTAGCTCCTACATGTGTATCCTAAGGATCTATCCTTGGTCCTTTGCACAAATCCTTCAAAGATTTCATTCATTCTTACATCTCCAGCCAGACATTCTATGCAAATTATTCCCCAAACTCTCTGAGTCTGATCTTTTCCAAACTCTGGGCATTTGACTGCTGGACTTCTCAGAGATTGCCTGTCTGCCCCTAAAACTCAGCATGTCAAAACTTGTCCTTTTCCAGTTTCCCCCAATAGTACCATCGTGTCATCCAGCTTCCTTGACTCTGAAAAAGGAAGCTTCATATTAACTAGATAGGTTTACTGTACAGTCAAAATGACATTTAACTGGGGTCTGAAAGAGGCAAGACCACTCCACTACACTCTCTATCTGAATGTTGAGATTCTTCATTGTATCGCCATGGTGTCCAGTCAACAGAATCTCTCAAAATCAGCTGGGGTGAAGGAAAGTCCCTCCTGCTGAAAGCCAGGGCTGGATCGGAAGGCTGTGGGAGCTGTGGGATTGGAACAGGTCCTTTGGCCTTGTCCAAGAAGGGTACAAGGCATGTAAAGGACCTTTCCCAGGTGGTTAAGAAAAAAGAAAAGAAAGATGCTATCTGTTACATAAAACACATCAAATGCCACAAGAAACTGAAGCCAGATAAGGTCTCCTGGGCTGCAGGTAGGATTAGGGGGACAGGATAGTGGACCAGAGCCAGACAGACCCAGGTGTAAGTTGTGGCTCTGCCTCTCCTACCTATATCATCTTAAACATAGCACCTAATTTCTCTGAACTTCAGTTCCCTTACTTGCAAAATGGAAATAAATAATACCTAAATGTCACGATGGTGATGAGAATTAAACTCAATCATAAATGTAAAGTACCTAATGCCAAGCCTGCATCAGAGTAGATAATTGAATGGTTGTCATTGTTCTTGTCGTTGTTATTGTTGTTAGAAGTCTAACATTTTTCTCTGTTAACTCCTGGAGTTCCTTCAACAAAACAAATTAAAATATTTTCTTACAGTGTCTAATGAGCTGTCACTGAAGGACAGCACTCCACATGGTTGGAGCTTGTGGATCCAGTGCTTGAACTTCCTTTTTTTGTAAGAACTTTCTCCACATCAACTCTGAACAAGTTGCTGTGTCTGGATCAAAGCTCTCAGATAATGGTTTATACAGTCTCAAAGTCAACAGTTTAGGACATGAGAGGCTCAGCAAGGATAAAGAAGAACTTGATCAAGTGGACTCAGGGTGCTGGGAAGAAGGATAATACAGGTAAAGGCAGAAGAGAACCATCCAAAAGTCTACAGAGCAGACTCAGGATATGGCTTGAAGGGTTAAAAGAGCTGACCTCTTTGGAGCTATGTCCCATATTCTCCTACAAACAAGCCTTGACCAACGAAGGATCCCTTATTTCATAAGCCTATTAGATAGGAGGGTTCAGAGAAAGAGCTGAACTGGTGGGAGTGCAGGTCACAGACCCCTGACTTCACTCTTCATTGCTGTTGTTGAAGAATAGATAGGCGTCAAAGTCACACCAGTCCTGACAGGTATGTCTAAAATATTTTCTGTCTAGCTACCTTATCTAATGACTATTAGGGTCACATCTCTGAGACAAGGAAGAAAGGAAGGCCCTAGGAGACTAACTTGGAATGATCACACTGTCTATAAGCCAAGGCTCTGGTATTCATACCCATGGAATCCCTGAGCCTGCGTAGACTGGAAAAGGACAAATATGGCAGTAGCAGCACCACCACTACCTTGTGAGCTTTGTGAGAACTACAGGGAACCTAAGCTCTAAACATTACCTGATGGGATACAGAGATTTTCCACACCACCCTGAACATGGAGACCTTCCCAGGACGAGGGAGCTAGCTGGACATTGGTAGGAAGCTTATCATCCACATTATGGAAAGGACTCAACAATCGTCCAACTAACCCCAAGGGCAGCCCAGAGGGACTGACTGAATCAATCAGTTGTCACATCCTAAGCCAGAGATACGAGAATATTCTGTAACAAAGAGGGGTTTGGAGATACACATTGACTAGATCCAGGTGGCAAGGATTCTGAGTCATGATCTACCATTAAGGATCAGTCAAGAAAGGGGGTCACTGTACTTCCTCCTACTGCTGCACAGGCAGAAGGAAAGCTACTTGTGAGACGTGTGAGACTTTTGACTCACCCTAGGGCCTTGTCACAAATGTATGCTGCTAGAGGACCAGTGCTAATTACTATATAACTAATGGAAAAAGCTAAGAGTTCTAAAATAGTCACCAGTCCCAGAGACTCATGTGTCCCTGACCAGCCTAGATGTGATTAGGGGAATACATGTCCAAAACCCTGCCTGGGTTTGAGGGCAGTGATGCCCAGGCCTTCAGCAGTAATGAACAGGATTTAGAAGAAAATGTGGTTGACAGAGTACCCACTCTGAAGGCAAGATCCAGAGTATGGGAAAGCAAGTATTACATTAGTGGACTGACATAAGAAACCATGAGAGAGGAATCACAGCCCACACAGAATGAGGCTGGCAGTGGAGGTGGGGGAAGGTGATGAGAGACAGTCACATGTTTTGTGAGGAAGAAATAGCCATGAACTGCATTGATTAAAAAATGGCCCCAGGCTGCCTGGACAAAGCATGCACAGGGCAAGGGAAGCATGAATTACTGGTTTCTGAAGTCTCTCCTGGGTTTGTCCTCTCCCCTGTCCAATCAGCATCCCTAACTTCCTTAACTGTCTTTCTTTACACTTTGTATACCTCACCCTCTACAGACAACCTCCCTCTCCCTCCCTCAGTGGCAGACAAAGGCTCCACCCTAATGAGGACAGACTTTACTCCCAATGCTTATCATGCACAACACTTGCCTTAACCATGCCCCATCCTCATAGTCACACTCATAGAAAACCCTACCCATCCTCCCACCAACACCCCCAAGTAATTCACACTGGTGCAGGCTCCCTTTCCCTCTCCTTCCACCCCCATCACTCACAATAACCCCGCACTTCGGATCAAAAGCGAAGGTGCCACAAGTGAGGAGGTGAGAAGCATTGGCAATGAGGAGAATCTGGACGAAATTGTGACATTCATCCTGGGGATCAGAGATGGTTAGAGGGAATCAGTAGTAGTAGGTATGAGGAAGGATGAGGTAGTGTCAGGACAGTTAGGTGCAACTCTGGCATCGGAGATGATGGTTGATGGCATGAGGTTAGAGTCCCTGCCTGGACCTATTGGGATGGGAGTACTACAGGAAACTGACACAGAGTCAGGGGTGGGCCAAGGTCTCAACTGACACTCAAAACAGGGCCCAGTTTGACACCTACCTCTTTCTTGCCTTTCTTCCTACAGCTCTGTCTGTGAGCCTCAGGAACCATCCAGTCGATCTGAGAAAGGAGGAGTGGCCATTTCACCCAGATTCTCCCCCAAACTCCTTCAATGTCAGGGAAGATGAGACAGTTCCACAACCTCCACCAATCTGGCAACTTCACAGGCCCCCCTAGAGCACTGTTTTTCAAACTAGAGGTCCCCACCCATTAATGAATAATGATATCACAATTGATTAATTGTGAAATCATACCATTATTTTTAATGAAATATATCAAAATGTATCATATTTAGAGAGTAGATATTGTTCAAGAAAGGTTTCTTTCAGTACACAATTGTATACTGGGCCATGATACACAGTACAGGTGGAGTATCCCTAATCCAAAATGCTTGGGACCAGATTTCAGATTTTTTGGACTGTGGAATATTTGCAGAATACCAATGGGTTGAGCATCTCTAATTCAAAAATCCAAAACCTGAAATGCTCCAGTGAGCACTTCTGTGAGTATCATTTTGATGCTCAAAAACTTTCGGATTTTGCCAGGCACGGTGGCTCACGCCTGTAATCCTAGCACTCTGGGAGGCCGAGGCGGGTGGATTGTTTGAGCTCAGGAGTTCGAGACCAGCCTGAGCAAGAGCGAGACCCCATCTCTACTAAAATTAGAAAGAAATTAATTGGACAACTAAAAATATATAGAAAAAATTAGCCGGGCATGGTGGCACATGCCTGTAGGCCCAGCTACTTGGGAGGCTGAGGTAGTAGGATTGCTTGAGCCCAGGAGTCTGAGGTTGCTGTGAGCTAGGCTGACGCCACAGCACTCACTCTAGCCAGGGCAACAGAGTGAGACTCTGTCTCAAAAAAAAAAAAAAAAAACTTTCGGATTTTGAAGCATTTCAGATTTTCAGATTAGGGATACTCAATCTGTACAGTTCTTACCAATGGGTAGTCAAAAAAGTTTAAAGCCTATTTCCCTAGAACATTGTAATTCTAATGATCCCACTGCCCACTAAAACCAGGTCACTACGGCCTCTTCACTATCATCATGAACCTCCCTCATAGCCTCCCCCATCACCATGACCCTCAACCACCCTCAGCTGAGACAATGAAGTGGACCATCTCCCCGTCCATTTCCCCCAATTCACTCCCTCATACCACCCCCACGGTTACATCTTTAGTTATTATAACCCTCTCCCTGCCCATTAAACCATAGATCTGATCACATTCTATGGGGTCTGGGGTTCTCCTACTCTCATCTCTCACCTTGCGGGGTCTCTCCCCTGAGAAGGGCAGGGATAAAGCGAAGATTGTGTCCCGGGCGCCAACATAAAGTGTGTGGGAAGCAGGATCCACAAGGAGAACAGAGTAATTGTATGTCTGAGGGACAGCGAACCGGGTGAGATAGGAGTCAGCCTCTGGCAGGAAGAGAGGGGTAGGTAGAGGAGAGTGGTATCAGCCATCACTTCATAAGTGTTGAGTCCACAGGGCAAAACCAAAGGGGCCAATTTTTGTTTTCTTCCAAGTACCATTTATTTAGCAGCCATTAGGGGAAAAAACATAACCTTGTCAGGTCAACTATCTACACCTCCCCAGAGACATATAACTGATGAGACCAGAATATTTAACACACAATCAAGTATTCTTTTTCTAGAAAAATAGAACACTTTATTAAAATAACAGCATAAATATTAAGTCTGTAATTTCTATTCCTAGCAATGTAATACATAATTTGAAAATACCTATAGAAGGTACAAGTACTTTCCTCTTCCAAATTTCTTTTAAAAAAAAAAATCAAACTTAAATAGCAACTTCTTTTTACTTAGACAGGAAATGTTTCACTCTTTTCACCAACACATTAGAAGTCTATCTCCTAGGCTGGGGATGGTGGTAAACTTCAGCAATCCTAGCACTTTGGGAGGCCAGGGCAGGAGGACTGCTTGAGGCCAGGAGTTTGAAACCAGCCTGGACAACATAGTGAGACCCCATCACAAATTAAACAAACAAACAAGAAGTCTATTTCCTCTGTCTCCCACCACCCTTTGACTTCCCCCTGCCCCATTCCACCCAAGAGGTAGAGAGTGTAGTGGTATGTGTTCTGAAAATGACCCAGCCTGAGTTTAAATGTGGCTCTTCAACTTACCAGTTGTATGATCCTGAGTATGTTATTTGCCCTCTTTAAGCATTACTTTCCTCATCTGTAAACACCACCAGCCAGGGTGATTGGGAGAATTGAGAAAACATGTGGAAGCACCTGGCACACACTACATTTTTCACAAATAGTTCCTTTCCTCCTTCCTTAGGCATGTGTTCTGTTTGGGCCAAATCTATTGAACTTCATATCAGCATTCAAAACTCTTATCTATTTAAAAATCATAACAAATAAGTTAGAATGAATTTACCTTCTTAGCTCAACTCTGGCTCCGGGGACCCTACTCCTGTACCGACACAGCTCTGCTCTACCTGCTTCATCTGCTCAGGTACGTTCAAGATGCTAGAATGGCCACCAGCCCATTCATTCCTAGATGTGGGGATGTGAGCCCCACCCACCCCATCCTCATCTCCGTGCTGTATCCTGCCTGCCCTCTCAAGCTTAGTATAAGCCCTGGATCACCCAACCTCCCTTCATATCCCCTACTCTGGCTTCACCTTGTTTGCCATCGAGACCTCTCTGGATGTCTGAACATCAGCTCAGCCTTGCGACCTCAACTCACTTTGTGGCTACTGCTCTGGCACAGACCAAAACCCCAGGCTCTGACCATAAGTTTGCTTCCTGGATTCATGGCATCCCTATGTCACTGGTCTGAGTTTAAACTCTAAATTACTATTACCCAGTTGTGACTTTTTCCCTACAGGTTGTACTCTTGGCTTCACTGGTTCTGTCAGCCCAAGGTGCCAACAGTCAATGAACACTGAGAAGAAAACAAGATTGATGGCCATGCTCATGCCCACCTCAGCAGAGAATCTCTAAAATGTGAATCACTTTAATGATCACTTTTAACCTTGTGGCATCCCCTAGCTTCTTCTACATTTCTTCAAGGGATCATGTCCCTTTGAAGCCTCCTTTTGTCTTTCTGAAGACTTTAAAAATCACTTAAGCAGAACTTTAAATCAATTCGTTGAATGGCTTATCAACATTCAATGTAAGGAATGGGCAGAGGGAGCAGGGAACATTGAGGAAGTTAGGAGAGTTAAGGTGGATATGATAATGGAAAGACAGAAACTGGTGTCATAGATGTGCCTGGGAAGAGGCGTTAGAGCAGGGCGAGAGCCTTGGATGCTGGGGGGCGGGGGGAGGGATAGATGATAGGGAAATGAGTTTGAGAAGATGGAAATGTTGAGCTGGGGACGCTGAAGGATGCGTGACGGCAGTAGAAGGTAAGACCAATGGGTTTGGTTTAAGAGCAGAATAGGCTTCAAACTGGAATGATGGACACAGGTGTATGTTCAGGGAAATAGGAGGGATAAAAGAAGAGGGAACTTCGAAATGGACGACCTCGGGCAACTCTCGTTTCCTCTCTGGGCCTCAGTGTCAGAGTCTGCACGGTGAGGGACTCAACTCTCTTGCAGTTCTGGGAATAAGGGCCCGCTGGAGCAGGCTGGGCGTGTCGCGGGAGCCGAGGAGCCAGGCCCCCGCCGGGGATGCGGCGAGGCAAGCATGGGGGTCTCGCCCGGGTCCCTGTGGGGCGTGGGCGGCGCGGAACGCCAAGCTCTGCGCTGAGGGGCCCCAGGTCCAGTCGCCGGGTTAGGGGGGCTGGTGGGTGTGCGTGCAGAGGGCTGAGGATGAGGGCGCCCGCGCCTTACCGGAGATGGGAAGCGAAGTTCTGGGCACCGAGCGGGGGACGCGGCCAAACACCGGGCCGTTCAGCACCGTCAGCAGCAGCAACTGGAAGAGTGAGGCTAGAGGCGGCCCGGGACCCGGGCGGGGCCGCGCGGCAAAGGCCAGCATTTTTAGTTCCTCCTGGCCGCGGGTGGGGCGCACCCTGCAGCCTCGGCTGAGGGCCACAGCGCCGCCGGCCTCCGCCCCGCTCCGGTTCGCTCCGCCGGGCTCGGCCTACAGCTGAGGGAAGAAACACAACCTGGCTCCGCCCCCTCATGAAGGGACCAATGGCAGAGCCTCTTTCTTCCTACAGCCAATCGAGACTGAGTAGAGGCGGGGCTGAGGGGAGAGACGCCTAACCCAGGCTGAGGCGGAGCTAGACCCAGGTGTAGGTAGGACTTCTACCTCGGAAGTAGGGGAAGGTGTCGCTCCAGGATCTCGAGCGACGAGTTTGCTCCGGCTGCTCCAAAAACTCAAATACCTAGATCTGTACTAAAAGCGTAAATATATGGGGAAATGGGTACACGCACCAAGTTTCTCAAAATTACTACTTTGCAAGCATTTAATGAAGGCTCCCTATGTGTTGGGCAAGCACACAGAGAGAGAGAGAGAGAGAGAGGCGATGATACAAAAAAATACTAAAAATCACGGTCCTTGCATTTAGGGAGCTCCCAATGTAATGGGGATCCCAAATGTAAACAAATAACTGCAAATAGATAATTGCAATACAAAGTGATGCATGTTTGCTATAAAAACGTGCAATATGTGTGGGATGGGATAGGTTTTGCCTTAGAGACTCAGAAAGGTTTCACAGAAGTGACATTTGAACTGAGTCTTCAAGGATTTGCAGGCCTTTGGGGGCGAGGAACAAACACTGCCTATGGATATATCCACTTGGATATCCTTCTAACAAGGCAAACGCAGGTCCTGAACATTAACTCGCCATCTCTCACACCCGAACCCTGGCTCCTTCTTCAGTCACATAATCTTCTAACTCATAGCCTTGCAGGTATTCCTTGCCTTCTCCTCTTTCATCCCCCATTGTATTAGTTATCTAGGCTGCATAACAAATGTAACAAGTTAACCTCAGAATTTAGTGGCTTAACACAGTAAACATTTATTATCTCTCACAGTTTCTCTGTGTCAGAAATTCAGGAGTAGCTTAATCTGGGTGGGCTGGCTCCCTGTCTGTCATGAGGTTACAGTCCAGATATGGTATGGAGCAGCAGTCATGTGAAGGCTTGACTGGGGCTGGAGGACCCACTGCAAAGGTGGCTTACTTCCATGCCTGGCAAATTGGTAGTGACTGTTGGCAGCAAGTCTAGGTTATTCTCCACATGGATTTCTCCATGAGCCTGCTTGAAAGTCCTCACATGAGGTGGCTTCCTCAGAGCAAGTCATCCAAAAGAGCAAGGCAAAAGCCATGCCATTTTTTATGACCTAGCCTCAGAGGTAACATAAATCACCCTGCCATATTCTGTTGGTCACACAAGCCAGCCCTGAAGCACTGTGGAAGGGGACTACACAGGTGGAATTTGAAGATTTCAGTGGGCCATCCTGGAGGTTGGCTGCCACACCCATATGTAAGCAGTCACTATGTCCTGATAATTCTGACTCATAAATAACTTAAATCCATCCTTTTCTTTCCACTACCATCATAGTTCAGGACTTTATCATCAGTCACCCAGACTGTACAATAGTTTTGTTAAAAAAAACAAAACCCTCTCTCCAATGCCTCCCCTTCCAGATTGCCATCAGGGTGACTTTTTTAAAGTGCAAGTACCGATTTATTCATTCAGGAGCCTATTTCATTCATTCATTCAGGCCCTATTCATTCAGGGCCTATTAGGTGCCAGGAATTTTGCTAAATACTAGACATAATAATATGATTAAGACACAGTCTCTGAATTCAAATTGCTTACTCTAGAGAGAAAATCAGACATTTGAGATTAATACTTCAAATCTTCTCTCTGAAACCTTCTCTCTAACTCCAATCTCAACACGATGGGACTCGCCTCTGGGTTTCTTCCTCTGACACTGACATTTTCCTCTCCTAAGCTGCTCCTCAAGAATAGAGGGTAGACTTTAGTCCCATCTCTGAACATGGTTTAGATATTGGCTTTTTTTGTCTTTTGATTTTTTCAGAAATCTTTTTTCAAATTTTTTGACAGCAACATAAAAAAGAGTTTCACTGGCCGGGCGCAGTGGCTCACGCCTGTAATCATAGCTCTCTGGGAGGCCGAGGCGGGTGGACTGTTTGAGCTCAGGAGTTCAAAACCAGCCTGAGCAAGAACGAGACCACTTCTCTACTAAAAATACAAAGAAATTAATTGGACAACTAAAAATACATAGAAAAAAATATTAGCCGGGCATGGTGGCGCGTGCCTGTAGTCCCAGCTACTCGGGAGGCTGAGGCAGAAGGATTGCTTGAGCCCAGGAAGATCGGAAGTTCGAGACCAGCCTGAGCAAGAGCGAGACCCCGTCTCTACTAAAAATAGAAAGAAATTAATTGGACAACTAAAAATACATAGAAAAAAATATTAGCCGGGCATGGTGGCGCGTGCCTGTAGTCCCAGCTACTCGGGAGGCTGAGGCAGAAGGATTGCTTGAGCCCAGGAGTTTGAGGTTGCTGTGAGCTAGGATGACGCCACGGCACTCTAGCCTGGGCAACACAGTGAGACTCTGTCTCAAAAAAAAAAAAAAAAGAGTTTCACTTTATATCACAACTTATTCACACTTAAGTACATGCATTCATAATATATTAGTGAGATAAATTTTTTACAAATTCATACTTACACCATATTTACCTTTACCTTTATTTATAAACCTTGATATTTTTTCTACTGTGTTGCATTTTATTCTACTCCATTTTTTAAAATGCTGGTTGCAACCCACTAAAATGATTTTACTACCTATAAATGAGTTGAGATCTCCACTTTGAAAAAAATCACTGTTCTAGGCAGTCTCATTCATACTAGTTTAATTAATAATGATTTCCTAAATATACATTTCCAGGCCATATTTCTTTTTTCAGGTTCTGACACATACGTCCAACCGCCTTTTGGACATTTCCACTCAATGTGACCACAGGCACCTCGATTTCAACTTGTCCAAAACTGAATTGTCATCCTCATCCCCACACCAGCCTGAGTAACTGGATGGGTGGTAGAACTAATGTTCCCTGTCTCTGTATATAGCTCCACTGTCTTTCCAGCTGTCCAAACCAGAGACTTCACATTCATTATTCAATAAATATTCATTGAATATCTACCATATTCTGGGCCGTGTCATTCAGGATCCCTCCTAATCGATACAATCAATCACAAAGATCTGCTAATTTTAACTCCTAGCTATCTCTACCCACATATCTGTATCCCCCCTACAAACACCCTAATTCAAGCCACTATCTTCTCTTGCCTGGACTGCTTCCTACCCCAGTCTTGCCCCTATGCCCAGCCACCACCACCCCAACTTTAGCCCCAATCCATTCCCTTTAGGGTAGGTAGAAAGTTCTCTCCAGTACACAAATCAGACTGTGTCACTCCTCTGCTTAAACACTTCAGTCCAGCTTCCCCACGCCACCCCAACTCTGCAGTGGTATGAAATCCAAAATCCTTTAAATAGTCCACAAGAGCTTACATGTTCTGGCCCTTTGCCTATCTCTCCTGCTTCATCTTTACCACTCCTCTTCCACATACTATACTCTAGCCTGGTTCAGTTTCTTCATTTCCTCAGAATTCCCTCTGCATGGAATGCTCTCCATGCCCCTTACTTGGCTAACTCCTATTTACTTCTGTTGATTCAGCTCAGAATGAAAATCTCTTTCTCCAGGAAGTTCTCTCCAGTTCTCAAATTCTGTGCCTTTCCCATGTGTTCCCATAACCTTGTGTTTCCCCTGCTGTAGCACATATCATACCACATTGTCATTGCCTAATACTGGTCTGTCCACCATAGACTAAGCCCCCCAAGAGGACAAAGATGATTGTATTCTCAGAGCCTAGAACAATGACTGGCATTTAGGAAGTCAGTAAATATTTGGTGAGTGTTTGTTTAATACCGTTATTAGTGCTATTACATTGTTTAAATATTCAGGTGTTAATCTAGGTCCTCCAAGAAGCAGGCACCAGAGATAAGATTAAGTGCATAATGATTTTATTAAAGAAAACACCTGTGAGAGAAAATGGGGAAGGGGGCCATGAAAAGCTAAGAAAGCAGTCACGCTGTGATGTAAGACTGACCCCAAGTGAAGAAGAAAGGGATGTAAGCATCCTAGACTGTAAAAGTTCAGAAAAGCTGTTGAGCGATCATCGAACCAAAGTTGCCCATTAGAGGAGTCCTGTGTCTCCCAAAAAGGAAACGTGAACAGTTCTTAAGCCAAAGAATGACATGAGCAAAATATGTTTACAAGGATAATCCTAACATCAGTGGAAAGGATAACTGGAGATTAGAGACAGGAAAACTAACTTGGACTATATGGGAAAGAAGAGCTGTTCAGAAGCTACCCTTTAAATTGAAACACAGCAACACTATTGGACATGAGATTACAGTGTTTAAAAAGAGCACTTGAGTTAAATATTTCTGTTTTTATTCTGAGGAACAGTTGAGAGGAGCAAAATTTAGTGGGACCAGAACACACACAAGTGACACTTTTCCTGTTGAAACATCTAGTCTGTCCTGAGCCACTCATTGGAACACTGCCCCACACCTGCATCTCAAATAATGAACTGAGAGGGAAAAAACGAATGATAAAGAGTGAAATAGGAGAAACTGCTTGTCCATTTCTGGCTTGGTACTAGCATTACCTTTTCCTCTCCTTTGAGCTGATGTGTAGAATTCCTATTCAACCAGAGGTGAAAATCCAGCCCAACCAGCACTCCTACCCCATCTGGAGTTTGTGAAAGTGACTGCAGGAATAAATCTCAAGTAAGTGAGAATGAGTGGAGAGAGACAGACCCTCTTGAAATGCAGAAGTTTGAAAAGACTTAAAAGAACTTTCTGAGGGTAGACCAAACTCTAACTTACATGAGAGCAGGGACCATTGTGTATCCACGTACCCCAGTCCTAGCACAGTGCATGGCACATAGTGTGCCCACCACAAACGTTTATTGAATAAAATAGTGACTGGCTGAAGGAGTAAATGATTGATGTGGAAGAAA